CTGTACGAAAAAGGGTACCAAAGGGGTAAATGGACTTAAATATATTTTTGCACCTCAATTGTCAATTAAAAGGTAAAAAATATTTGGAAAATATCAAATATTGTTACCAAAATTGGCTTAAGTGCTAGATCAAGCGTGTGTTTTAACTAGTTTACAATCTCAATGGATTTAAAATTTGTGCAGAATTTTATTTAAAATGAAAAAGTATGTTTAATACCCTTGTAGACATGTCTTTTTCGCAGATATGTGAACACAGTGACCGGTTTCTATGACAGGTATATAGTGGTTTGATCTGCTCCGACTATATGTAACGGCTGTAAGAGAAGTCGCATAGGCACAGGCAAACGAACATAGCTATATAAACTCGGCTGATCTAGAATTTATATACTTTATGGGTCCGATATGTCTCCTTACTTTCTATAGGGATATAGAAATGCGTAGTTGACGAAGAATCCAATACACTTCAGGATATGACTAGATTGTGAATTTTATTGGGAAAAAGATATTAAGAGAATCGTAAGGCAAGCTATAAAAATCTTAATAAAGTCTTTTTTTTTAAATATATGTGTCAGAAGACGGCATCTTGCCAAGAAAACAATTAAATACACGTGTTGTCGCTTTGATTTGAACAATTGTTAGAGAAATAATACAAATAATAATTGTGATAGTAATAATGTTATTTATTTTTTTCGTTGTATTTTCTTATTGCCATTGTTGCAATCGAAGCGGCCACAAATTGGTGAAAGTCCACACAGATATTCGAAGAAGCAGCGTAGGCTGTCAGGCGTTGGCTTCTCAGGTGCGTGCAACAATTTGCGCTGCCTCCGTGTGTGTGTGTGTGTGTGTGAGTGAGTGTGGGTGGTGGCAGCAGCAAGAGAGAAAAACAAGAAAAAGAAACAAAAGAAAAATGCCTGCTTGTCGGAAAACAAAAACAAACGAATAAAAATACAACAAACTTCATTGAGCTTCTTGAGAGATGGCGTCGTGAACTAGTTTCCATTTTAATAGCCCATAGTTGTCGGCTGCGGCAGCAACGGCAGCAAAGAGAGCATGAAATGTGCAACGAATTGTGGCAGCCACAAAGATTTATTGAAGCCCAGCCGCGGCCGGGGCTATTAACAAAATTACTTAACAAGCGGCCAACTGCAATGGACAGCGGCAAATGCATCGCATTTTGGTCAAACAATCCCCAAAACAACCAACAACAACTTACGACAACAACAATAGCCGAGCGGCAACTGAACAACGCTGAATTATTGCCAAGCGAGTGAGTTTTGAGTTTTGGCTAAGGCGAACCCAAGAGCTATTTCTGGAGTTTGGATACACTGGCTCATCCATTGGCTTGGGTCTGGGTCCGGTCTGGGTTTGTTCTGAGTGCCAGGCGATATATTCTATTTAATTGCATTCGAGGTCGATGCCAGCACAAAGCGCAGCACTGCAGCCAGAAGGACACTAAGCCTGGCCCTAACCCACTTCCCCTAACCTGTCCCCTCTCCTCCACTCTGTGGCCATCTCCAGCGGCGTGCGAGCTGCTGCTGCTGCTGCTGTCTCGGGGGTCAGTAAAATGTTAATCTCGGACTTTAAGCTGACAGCGAAAGAAGTAAAATGTGTAATAGCACCAAATATACGTAATGCGTTGATTTATGCTCTCAATGCAGTTGCTAGAAAACTACTTGAAGCAAATGCTGAATCCTTTGTCATGGGAATTTAATTAAAAATGTTCTGTTTAAGGTAGTGTAAAAGGGGAAAGAATGCCGCAACGAGCTAGCGATAGACACTTAGGCACTTTATTAGACAATAATTATTTAAGCACTTTAATTATATATTTTTAAATGGATTTAAAATAAATGGAGTATAACTTCTGCATATAAAATCTACTCAGTAAGGGCCAGCTACCCACCATAAATCTTACATTAGATAAAACTCATTGAACATGCCGCGAACGTGGCTCCAATTTTCTCATGAGCATCGTTTACGAATGCGGCACAAAGAGGCATCGATGAATTTGATGCTCTCGCTAGAGTAAATCGCTCACATTTAGTTTAACAAAAGCTCAAGAAGTTTTCTATATATTTTAAGACTTTATAGTCGATCCTCTTGTAAATTTTATTATAATATAATTTCGCAAATGCTTTTCAACTATTTTTTCTCGTTTTGGAATTGACAATATGATATTTCTATTTTGGGGGGAAACTGCATGAAAGAATAAAATAATTTAAAATATTATCTATGACAAGAATCGGATAGCAGTTTTAGCTATAACATACTAGGTATGATATCTTTATGTAGAGGCCAAAAATTTGAATGGAAATAAGTTGTATAATATTTTTTAAATATTTTGTTCCCTTTTCTTTCTGAGATTATGATTCTGATCTTAACAATGCAAGGCCTTTGTTGGTAGCCTTAAAACATAACCACAGTCAGCAACTTTTTCTTTCCGTCGCGTTTAAACTATCTTTTCGAAGTGCAAGTCACTTGATTTTGCAGCTCGTGCTGCACACGCCCCCTTGCCAATTTGCGCTAACGACGCCCCTGGCGCAACGGGCTCGCTTTTCATTTTTAGGGGAGGCAGCAGGTCCAGTCACAGTTTTACAGACAGCGCAACACACACAACAAAAGCAGCAACAATTGTAGCTGCAATCGCGGTTGCCGCCTGCCAATCGGCAAAGTTGCAAGCGGCAAAGTTGACGACCGCAGCGACTAAAAAACAACAACAACAACAACAACAACAACAACAGCAGCAGTAGCAGCAGCGACAACAGCAACAGACAGCAGCAACATCGATGCAATTTGTTATTTTGAATTTTCGCAATTTTCGAGCTCAAACTATTTTTGTGCGCGAGCAAAAAGCAATCACAGAACGCAGAACGAACCCACAAGAGGCCTTTGCTGCCAACTTGGTTAAAACATGTGAGTTGCGTGGAGTGGCTGGAGGGGCTGGAGAGGGGTACGGGTGTTCATTTTGGGGCGGCACACCACTGGCAGCTGCTTTGTGCTCAGACCTCGACAGGCTGCAACAAATATTTAATTAAATGTTGCTTTGACTTCGGGGTAAGAGTTGGACTACAATCGGACAGACCTTCTAGACGCAGCTCGACGGGAGGTTGGGTTTATTTATTTGTGGGTGTTTTTTTTTTTTTTTGCTTCCCCCGTAGTGCCCATTGAAGGCCATCATTAAGCCATGGCATTGATAATGATTGGTGCGGAGCCAATAAAAATGATACCTTCTGCCAAGCTAAATATAAATCTTGAGCTATTTTTGCGGCTGGCCACTTCTTATACTCAGCACGTTGCCAATTTCAAGTAGCTCCAATTGTATAGCGTGGGGCTCCCATTCCCTGTCAATTGATTCGATTTATGCAGCTCTTCTTCTATTCTTGTTTTTTTTTTTTTTTTTGCCACTCACCTCTGACTGCTTTTAATCCTGCACTTTAGCACCGAGGACATTGAATTCAAATTCCAAGTCAAGGGCTAAATAAACCCTGCCACGTGGCGCTGACAAGAGAGGGCCCAAAAAGAAAGCTTTTCTCAACTTTTTCGCACTAGCTGCTTTGCCTGTATACCCTGTAGTTAATAGAATAATGGCTTGTCGTATCTACATATGTGACAGGCTAAATAAGGCATATCTAATGATATGGCGTTTCAACTTCTTGCTAAACTTCATTTCAATTATGATTTTGTTTTATTTTGACAGCAACAATAAATATAAAGATATAGCCTCTGAACTTTTATCTATAATTGCAAAGTTTTATTTACATATTCTCAAATTATAACTTAAAATATTACTCAAACTTATGACTCATATTCTCAATCTAGACAGGGTAACTGGAAGTCATGCACTTCCCACTGCTGCATTATTATTAGCCTTCAACTATCTCGCAACCATCCTCTGGGCAGGGTATCTGCATGTCGTGTAATCCCTGCTGCTGCCTTCTTTGCCTTCGCTCTTGCAGCGAACATATTTTATGTGTCTATCAATTCGACCTGTAGACTGGCAGCCACCGCGCATCCATCCTTGAGCCATACAAAAATGCTCCTATAAAGATACATATACATACATATATCTATATAAATCTATATATATGTATATATCTTTAGACGGAGGCGTCTGCCAGTCTGTCTGGCTATCTCCGCTCACTGTTTCTCGCCATGCAAAATTTATTGAATTTAATATGCATATTGCAATAAAATTTATGCATTTTTCTGTGTCCTTTTTTATTTCAGTTTTTCTTCATATATTTTATTATTTTTTTTTTCCATATCCCTTTGTCATTAAATTTGCAGCGTCAAGGCGTAAATTTGTTGCTGCTTTCCCGGGTGCACAGGATTTTCAATATGATGTTGCTCTTTTGCCGAGAAATTTTGATAGTTGCCGGCAGCTGAGTAAAATATTTTCATAAATTTATATATAAAATAGAAAAATCCTTATTCCTATCTGCTGAGTATCCTGTGCTATGAAATTTATGAACTATTAGCAAGCGAAAGCATAAACGTCAAACTTTCGGATAAACGCTTTATGATTATTTGCCAACTTAAGTAGGAAACTGTGCTTAAGCATTCTTTTCATTTATTAAATGTTCAACTTTGCACCTTCTGTCAGCTCAATACAATTAAATTGATGAAACTACATTTTCAAGATGATCAAATTTGAAAAACAATTTTTATTTAATATATATTATATAAGTTGAACGTACTTCCAAATTACGACCAAAGCCTTCAGCTTTATATTTATATATATTTTATTTCCTATTTAAAAAGGAGAAATAAATAAAAATATTATTTAAATTGTGAATGCGGCTTGTCTGAATGTGACTCTGATATTTGTCATATATTTGTGAGTAAAAAGGGGCATTTTTTGGATTACGTTTAAATAATGAAAGTAATTTGTGTGAATGTCATTAAGACAATACATTCTAAATCCTAACTTCGAAATGCAGAATAGATGTCAAACCAAAACTCGGTCATGCCAATCGCTTTAGTCTTGAAAGATTTTGAGCTTTCCGTGCGTTTTATTTAATTCAATCTAAAACCATCATTTTTGGGTAAGCTTTAATGTAATTTTAGTGCAGTCAAGTTTTGACAAGCTCTTACACAAGCTAATAATAAATAATTTCAAGAGCGTTTAAAAAGGGCTCAAGTTTTTCATCTGACTAAGCTTTAATGTGCTTGGGATGAATTTATTATGCTCCTAAAACTTTTATTTTTATTCAACTTACATATAATACAATTTATTTATATTTAAGATTTTCAATTTAACAGCAATAATGTACAAGATTTATATAAATTTTTGATTTAGAAGTTCTTATTGATCTTTCATTCATTTGAATTTAATTGTATAATAAAATGGAGAATTTATTATTATTATATTTAACTTATATTCTTTAAATTTCTTCTGTCTTTTCAGGTATGTCAGCCGCTTTTACAAATTTGAACCGTTCGCCAAGGTAACCCACAAAACTTCCCATGCTCTTTGACCTAGTCTCCCAATTTTCGCAAAGCTCAGCTAATTACATTTAAAGCTACTGTATTTATGTTGTGCGTGTGTGTGTGTGTGTGTGTGTGTGTTTGTTGATCACTTTTCACAGAGTGCTCTCGAATGACCCATTAAAATAAGCCATTAATTTTTAGCCAATGACCCTCTTAACTGCCAGCAGTCGAGGGAGCTAGAAAAATGTTTGGAAACGTCAAAAGCAAAAGCCAAATTAAAATAGGAAAATAAAATACATATTTGCCGAAACGCACATAAAACTCAAAATAAATATGCAATTAACGGCAACAGCAGCAGCGACGGGGCGAGGGGCGGCCAGTGGGCGTGGCAAAGCGCCACTCTAAGCGCCATAAGTTTGTGCGAAATGTAGTGTGAATTCCATTAATTAGCCATAACGGGCCCGGAGCCGGGGCATGTCCATTTTCCAATTGATCCGATTGGCATATGTGTAAGCCACATGTGGCGCGTGTGTCATGTGTGTGGCCAATGTCGCATGCAACATTTAACTGCAAAGTACAAGAATAGGGCAGAACATGAAACGCACATAAATGCGGCTAATTGTCGGTCAAATGGATGCCTGAAGGTCAGCTTACAGGCTGTCACACGCACAGATACGTAAGCAGCGACAACTACAGATATATTTGCAGCTACGGATACAGATACATTCGCAGTTATAGCCACAGATACAAAGCGCATAACTAATACTTAGTTGACACACATGCGAGGGCTAATAAACTGGGCTGTGGGGTGGGGGTTGGGCTTGGGCTTTGCCGTAGCTGCGCGCCTTGGGGCCCAGATTAACCGTTAATAGCTTCAAATTGTTGCCACGCTTTTTGATTTTTGGGCATTTCGCTGTAGACCCTCTTGTTTTTGTTTTTCTTTTTTTGTTGTTACGCATTTTTCCACGCTTTTCTTTCTGTTGACTGTTTGGTATGCGACTCAACTCGATTGACTCGTTTCTTTATTGCCTGTGTTGTTTATTTTTTTTGACTGCCTCTATACGGTCAACTTCATAATCATGTTAATGCTAATGATGCCGATGCTGCTGCTGATGATAATGATGATGATGATGACGCTGATGATGCGGTAACTGAATCGCCTTTTGCTCAACTAGTTCCATTCGCTCCATTGGCCAATGTTAGCGTCAATTGCCAATGTTTATCTGGCCATTTGCAGTCGCTTTTCGAGTTCGGCTTCCAATTTCCAATTGAGTTGTACAGTTGCCCGAGAAATACCAATCTCCAAATACACTGTCCAGCATAGTTATGCACATTGCCGTTGAATTTATTGGTAACTGACAGCATGTGAGGATTGAGATAATGATTGCAAATGCTTTTTATGTTGTTTCTTTATAAGCTGGAGCTGGATTTGAGTTGAGATGCCGGAGGGAGAGAGTGAGAGAGAGATGCAGGGAGATATGGAGAGAGAGAGAGAGAGAGTTGGGGGGATACAGAGATAGAGAAAGAGAAATATAGTGAGAGAGAGAAAACAGATAGATATAAATAGAGGGAGAGGAAGAGAGAGAGAGAGAAAATTTTCTATTGTTTGGTATTATAATTTAAATTAAATTTTATGAATGATATGTTACTTTTTCCTCAGGGAAATAAGTATTGCCGAATTTCTTTAAATGATTTTTTACTTAATTCCAAGAAAATGAAACATAATTTCCCTATTATATTTGCTTATATATCTCTTGGCATTGTTTAAATATAGTTTCCCCTTAATTTCGTGTGTCGAATTTCTCAACAAGAGCTATAACTGTTCAATATGTTTATTATTTCTGTTTGACCTAACTGTCAATGGGTTTGTTTATACGTTCTATTGAGCACACTCAGTACATCCCACACACACACGCACACGCACACGCACACACACTGCAATAAACGGCAGTAACTCAAGATTCAGATGACAAGCACCTGAGCTACTTCTTGTTGTGCTGTGTTGCTCATATGAATTACATGGACTGATCCCCACGTAAATCTCTTAGCAGCTTGTTAGGAAAACAACACCAAAAACGGGTCTATGAATACGTCGACGAGTCAGAAAACAGTTACAACATAAATACACAACAGAGGCAAGCTGAAGTCATGCGTATTAAATACCAAAAAAAAAAAAAAAGATAAAAAATAGGATAGAAAAAAAGGAAAATTCAAATCGTTGCGCACGACCAAATTGTAGACAATCATTGGGAAATACACACACAGTGAGTGCGTTTGTGTGTGTGTGTGTGTGCGTGTGTGTGTGTGCGTAAATATTGGTAGTTAGTTATGGCTAAATAGCGCAAAATCGTCTCGTATGTGGCTGACTTCATATAACTGCGTCCGAGTGCTCCACTTGCTAATAATTTATATGAAATGTTAAGCGAGCGTAGAGGGCGGGGAGACAGCGGGGCGGGGCTGGTCTGATTTACAACAATCAGCGGCAACTAAATCAGTGCAACTAACAGTGCAACCTGTTTGAAGTGCAACGCGACACAATCCCGAACGTTGACAGCGCTGCGAGCGCACTTGAAACAAGTTTCAAATGCAGCCAGCAAATTGGCCCGCAAATACATGAACCCCCTGCCCCTTCTCTCTCTCTTCCTCTCTCCCTGGCGAAACTGGCCGCCTCCTTTTATCCCACTCTTTGAGACAGCAAACGCAGCGCGCCGCGTGTTTGGCCAAGTGCAGCGTCCACAACGAACGGGACACTTAACGTTTTGGCCATTGACAACGATTAAAAACAAGTTTCCCCTTAGCGAGTGCCACCCGCTCGACCCGACTCGCCTCGCTGTTAGCCTAGCCATACGCCACATCCTCTGGCCTCCAATGTGGCCCAAATACGCGAGAGGCTGCTGCTTGCAACTGGATGTGGCACCGGGACCGGGGCAGCAACAGCAGCAGCAGCAGCCAACCAGGCGAGTGGCCAGGCGCGACAGCATTGCTGACCCAAATACAAAGACATTCAATCGACGCGCTGCACATGAACTGTATTTTGTATCATATTTTTTACTCTCTTTCTCTTTTTATGGCCTTGCAACAGAGCGAGAGAGAGTAAGAGAGAGAGGGGAGGATTGAGTTGGTCATGAAGTTTGAAAGTCTTGAAGTTTGGTCTTCAGACGGCCACCAAGTACAAACATCTCCTAACTGCTTATAAAAGCGCATTGTTTGGCTTTATAGCCGAGCGGAGCGCGACAGCAGAGCTGTAACTTAAGATCTATAAAGTTAAGGCACATCAAGTTAAGGATATAATAATATTTACTGCATGCTCTCCCTTAAATATCCAGCAAAAGGATATATCACAAGCTATATCCCAAACTCATATTTAACAAATGCGGCAAGACTTTGGTTATTTTATTTTTCTTAGAATTATGATTTAACTAAAAGAAAATTTGCTTCTGTTTTAAAAATGGAAATGTGATTTCAATAAAAAAAATTCCAGCGTATTATCTTACATGCAAATTATATTAACGAAAAATTCCTCCTGCCTTCTGTTTTTCAAACTGAAATGAAACTGAAATGAAATAACAGCAAACTGTACTACATGCCATATTGTATAGGTATGCATTGTCTTAGATTTGATATAAAAATATAAATTCAAAATGCTATGAACGGAAAAAATGACAGCTTTTCAAGTGCTCAACAGACGAGCTGTCGGACAATAATTTTACAGTGCCGTATGCTAGAAAATATATCTTGATGCAGTTTTTGGCAAATTCTAACCCAAAATGTACGAATACAAGTGGAATACTAATTTAAATGTTGCGAATCACAAAAATGATCATTTCATAACTTTCTTTTTTCGTGCAGACTATCCTAACGGAGAGCACGAAAATGTTCCCTTCAAATTCATTATACATCTAGGCAACACCCATTTCCCTCCATTAGGCGAACAAAAATTACGCGACGAAATGATATTATATAAGATGGGATAGATGGTATGAGTAGATAGTTTTGCGATAATTAAATCTTAATGCTATTAATACGAATAGGAATGTGAACTTCACATTCGTCTACATATTGTATTTTAAAGGGCATAAGTACTTCGTTGTACAAAGTGTAGTTCGTGACTCTCGTATAAATAAAAATTGAACGATGTTGGCAAAACGAGACCGAAATGTTGCAGAGCGAGACAGGTGCAACAGGGTCAGTGGGTGCGAAGGCGGAGCGGGGGCGGGTGGCAGGTTGGGTGCACAGTTGGCGAATTGGCGAGTTTTTGTCGTCAACAAAAGCGCGCGAATACAGGTGTGTGTTTGTGTGTGCAGGTGTGTGTAAGTTGTGTATACAGCTGTGTGTTTGTGTGTGTGTATCTGATGATTTACCGTTGTGGCCTCATACACACAAAAGAGCCCGTTGCCTCATACACTTGTGTTGGGATCTGGTCGCCGGCTCGTTCGTATCCTCGTCAAGCAACACACGAGTTGCGGTTGCCGAGCGGGTTCTTGTTGCTCTCTTTCTTGTTGTTGTTGTTGTTGTTGTGCCCATTTGAACGTTAGCTGCACGTAGTTGGCTTGTTAGCAAATGTACGGTACTTTTGCCTCCACACACACGCACACCTCAGCACACACACAAGTGTAAACATCAAAGTGAGACATTTCAATTTTGATGCGTAATCAAACTATTGGACAAGTTTTAAATACAATCCAATTGATTCAGTGAACAAATTGTTTCGTCTTATTCTTGAATGCGCAGCATTTAAAAGCATTCACATTTTTTCTTGTGTGGCCTACAAACGAATTTTCATATCAGTTTTAAGCATTTAATACAGTTTTTGGATTTTATACGGATTCAGGTCCGGGATTTCAAAGCTCCACATCTGACGATGCGGACGCTGAGTTTCAGTGAAAAGAGAGATTAAATAAAACAAACTAGATTCAAAATCAAAAACCGAATAGAAATAACAAATGGGCCACCAAATACCCAGAATTAAAGGATGAAAGTTTTCTCCCACTTTATACTAAACGTAATGCGACGGTTTTCACATATAAAATTTAGTTATAGTTTAACGTATTGTATCCAGTATCAACTACATAGTTCTTGGCCAATGCTGCTGTTAATTTACCAGCTGGTAAATTGAATTCAACTGGGAAAATGTAGGCCTTGATATGTCTTCTAGTTAAATTGCGTCTACAAACTAGCTTAATTGCTAGAAATAATTTGTTTTAATAAAAATTGCACATATGTTTTCTGAAGTTTCCATTTGAAATTTGCCCCTCAAATACCAAAAATTTGTTGTGTTTACATTTTAATTACAGTCCGTATTCTAAAATTTGCACAGTCTTGAGTAAAGACTCTTAGCAAGTATTTAAATTGCTGTAAAACAATGTCTAGACTCTCGAAACTTAATAAATTTGATTTTCATTCTATGGAAATATTTCTCACATGCTGCTGATGATGATAAACTTTTAAAGTGCGCCAAATGAGCGCAAAGCGAGTGGCTGCCGGGTGAAGCGGGCTCTAAAAGAGCAACTAAAATATATGGAAATGGGCACAACATGCACTGCACAGGTGCTTGTCACGCCCACACAATGCCAAAAGTGGGCGGCCAGGCAAAAAAAAAGTACACAAAAAAACAATGACAACTTTTGCAGCTTGAAAGAATAAAGCCCGCCAGTCATTTGCAGTTGGAACTGTGCTGGTTGTGGAATGGGTGTAAGGGGGATCGCTCCTGGCTGGGGCGTGGCGCAGCCCTAGTTGCAACATAAGTATTAGCTTCATTTTGTGCAGCGTTTAGTCAGGACAAGAGGCGACGCATGGGCGGCGACCCAACCGCCGATTCTTTAAGCTGCCCCTTCACACACACACACCCCTCGCCCATCCCCTTGGCAGGGGCTCCTTGACTTGGCTCGTCTTTGTAACTTTGTTTGCTTTTTTGTTGGCTGGCCTCAAATGAATTGAATGTGAAAAATTTAAATGCAAACAGCCGCAGTCAACGCAGCATGCAACCTGCTCTCTGATGCTGATGCTGATGCTGCTGCTGCTGCTGCTGCTTTCTGCTTGCGTTGCATTACACAAGTCGACCTCCGACAACATGCCCTCCCCTCCACAACTTTAGTGCCCCCAATGCTATACAAAGTTCATTGTACCGCGCTTAGGCTAAGAGCCGCAGTCGCAGCAGCCCAAAAGAAAAACGCCGCCGCTTTTGATTGCCAACGGCCTGAGTGAAGCATGACGCTGTTGCACGTGACAGTGGGAGGCGGATAGTGGGGGAGGGGGTGTTGCCGTAAGCGGGGGAGTGCTGCTATATAGTGCTATAGGTAGCCAGGTCATAGACTTCATTGCGCCGGGCCTGTTACTTAGGCCTGGTTAGGCCCAACACACGCATAACATTTTTCTCATATTTGTTTTTCGTTTGTTGTTTTTTTTTTTTTTTCTTTCATTTTTTCTTCTTTTCTGTGAACTCATGAGAAACATTTATTGTTGCAGTGTGTGTGCGTGTGTGTTTTGGGTGCGTGTTTTGGATTTACTGTTACTGTTGGTCGTTCGCATCGGCTGAATGGATTTTGACTGGGCTGCTTTAGTGCCTCGGTAGCTCCGATTGAATATTCTGTCCTGGCGGCAACTGCAGCTGACAATTATTGTATCATATTTTGTTGAGATTTTTTACAAGTACTAGAACAATAAATTGTTGGCCCAGCTACAAATTGGAATGATAGACTGGAAGATACGCTATAGCAAGTTTAGCAGGAATTATGAAGCTTTATCAGCTTTATTAGATGCCGATAATGTGTAGTAGTAGTAGTAGTATGTACATTATTTCGCTTTAGATATTTTCTTATATACATTTTTATATCGCAAATAAAAATATAAATTAATTATTTTTATATTTGGAGCGGGTTACAAACTTTAATTTATTGCGCTTCCTTCAAAAGCAGCTAGCATAACATGATTTATATAAATTTTGAACATCCATTTCACAGTCGAAGTCCATGTCATGCGGTCAGCTCTTTGGCTTTCTTGGTACTCAGCTGCTGTGGACACAATATTAAAGCTGGGTTCGTTGCACTCACAGTCGCACAATGTTTGGCACCTTCTCCGAAATTCGCTCCATTCTCTTTGACTTTGACAAACTGAACTTTCTCGGGCTTGTACGGAGCTGACGCATTCAAAGCCAAACTGAAACCCTTTTGCGGCCCATTCACAGACTTGGCTACAAAATTAGCACTTTGAAAACTACGCATGGCCGGCACATGCCAAAGAAATTAGCGCCTAACCAAGCCGCAAAACCAAACCAACTGCTCTGCCCTTGCTTCTGCCTCTGCCGCTCGCTGACAGCTCACTTCGCTCTTGCCCCGCTAGTTGGGGGTCTCACTTTAGTCAGGTTTATTCGTGGCACTAAATAATACGCCTTAACGCGTTCATAACATTTTGCAGCTACTGAAGAGGCTGCTATTCAAATGCTGCCCGCTCTTTCTCCACCCGGCCCTTCAATGCTCTATATAAATCTGGCCCTGCTCTTGCCACACATTTCGCCCGCAGCGTTTTCATTATGCAGCGCACGCGCTCGCCAAGAGTCCCGGCAGTTATCTATGAAGTCCTAGACGCGCCGACTGCCAGATAAGCAGCCACATTAGCACACACATGCCGCGCCCAGCCCCGCCGGTGCCTGTCACCTGCCCCAACCTCTGCATTATTCAGTTTTTTTTTTGAGAACTCATTCTGCGAGAGTTGTTTATGGAGTAAGTGCTCCATACTTGAGCAGGGAATAATGGCAGGCTTTGTTTTGCTTACAGCTAAACAAACCAAATCTCTGACTTTTACGTGGGATCCTCTAAAGGTCACAGCAATTTGCTAAAGCGACGACTTACTTAGAGAGGGACTTCGCTTTCACAAAGACTACTTGAGGAATAACTTTACATTTATTGTACATTTATTTAGTTAAACTTTCTGTAGATAGTTTTAAATATTTTATGATTTTAGATTAGATCTTGCGCAAGAATCAGACGTTCTTCTTTGGAAAATAGACACTTCTTTGAGTATTAATACAATATTGTATTTATATTGAGAAAATAAAATCAAGCTCATAATATTTAAATTAAAATTTAAGTTGAAAACCTTGAAATTGCCTCGGAGGAATACGATTTGAAAGTTATGCTTTTATTAACATTTATTTATATATATATTAAATATTTTATAAATCTTCACTCAACATTTAAAGGCATTTAAATATACTTATATATCAACAGACGTTCTCTTATAATCGGCAATATATTCTAATTGTGCAATAACTTTAATGTTTACAAACTTAGTAATAGCTTGACTTAACTTAATAGTCTGCTGCCAGGTATTTAAATCTGCCTCGCAAATAGTCCCATTGCGCAACGACTGAACCACCTGGCGTGCCATTGTTCTGTGCTTCATTCATGCCACAGGTCTAGTTTTCAGTGCTATCTTTGTGAGCGCAG